TCAGATAAAACAATACCCAAATCGTTAATTTTTCTTAATGATTACGTATCTTTAATTTTTTTTTTATTTCAACAAATAAATTTATTGTAAATAAGTATCAGGTTAATAAAAAATATATTTAATTTATGTAAATTTTTTAATTTAAAATCATATGCAATCAATGTTAATATTTACTTTAACCACATAAGATTAAATATAGAACAATAGATTTTATATAATACAATACGTTAAAAATAATTAAGGATGCTTTTATATTTAAGGTCAATTCTTCCAATCTAATATAATACTCAATTAAAAACTAATACTTAATTTACAATTTTTTTAATATAATTCATCCTTTTTTCTTTATTACGTATATAGACAAGCTCTCATACTTAACTTATTTGTTACGTGTAATATTTTTTATTCATTTTTAATTTTTTGTTTATTTTAACAATTTCTAACTGTTATTATCTCATTTTTATATTTTTTTATAAAATTACTATTTTTAATTCTATATTTTAATATATTAACTAAAACAAATCTTAATTTTATAATTGACCCACATTGAATATAAAATTATTAGTGATATAATAGTTACTATAACTTATAACAATATAAGTTAATCTCTTCACGTACGTGTATCACACAATGAATGAAAACTTAACAAAAGTAAAAATATATTAATAATGTAATTTTAAAAACAAATAACAATCAACATAAATAGATTCATTTCATAATTTTTTATTTTATTTTATTTTAGTCTTTTAATATTGTTTTCTTATTTTAATCTTTTAATTTATAAAATCATTTTAAATAAATCTCTTTTTTTCTCAAAAATTTTAACTTTTGTTTAAAAAAAAAATTAATGTTTATATTCTTCCTTCTTTGAAACAAGCAAAAATACAACATTTTCTGATAAAAAATTTTATTGTCTAATTTTCTTCTCTCTTTTTTTTATCCTTGTCTAATCCTCAATAATCAATTTTTTTCTCTTGAACTTCAATAAAAATCTTGTCTTTTCTTTTCTTGTTTTTCTCCCCTCCTTTTACCTTTCATTTACACATTTATAATTATTTCTTCTCCTTCCTTTTGAAATTCGATAAAAATATTTTTTTCTTCTTCCTTTTATCTTTTATGCATGCCTTAATAACTCATTTTTTCTCGAACTCTTAACAAAAATTTTATCTTTTCTTTTTCTCTATATTTTATACCTCATTCATGCCTCCACAACTTATTCTTTCCTCAGAATAAGAAAATCTTTTGTTAATTCGGATGGAAAATAATGAGTTAAGAGAGGTGCAGATGATGAAGAAAATGATAAAGATAAAAAGGAATAGGCTATATAAAAAAACTTACTGAAATATATTATATTTTCATCTGAATTCACAAAAAAAAAAATATGAACAATAATTTTTTAATGAAATTAACATTTTAGACAAAGTAAAACTTATTTAAAATATTTTTATAATTACTAAAATGACAAAAAAAAAAAATCAAATCAAAACAAAATCAGTAATTTAACCCCAATATACTTCCACTAGATATGTCGCTCGTGTGTATGTATGTGTCTTGTATGGAAATGTAAATGAAAAGACGGCTACGAGTCAGCGATGGTAGATAGCAGACAATAAAAGACAAGACAAATATCGCATTTTATTGCACTATAAAAACATTAGCATGATCCTGCAGGCTGACTTTCCCTTGATTTCTTATATCTTTCTTTTGCTAATTGACTAAAATACAAGTCGATAATTCTAGCATTTTAATTGTATTAAATAACTATTATTTTGTTTCATTAACTATAACGATTTACTAAGGGAATTACGATAAAAATGTTAAGTTAGGGAGTAAAGTGCATTTAACCAAAATAAAAATCAAGGTTTTATTCAACAAAAACATTTGAGTCTATGTGCAGTTTGTGCTGATGAATTGTGCCCAGGTAGCATCATTTTTCAACTCCTTTATATTTCCTTATTTTCTGGGTTAAATGTAGTGTTTAAACCGGATAACATCAGGGGCTATCAAAACAATGTTGAGCACTGAAAAGTAAATAATAACTTTGTGTGTAATAATTTTAAACCACTTTGTGTTTCAACAAAAGTGGATGAAATATCGAAGTTGAGAGGCAACCCTGAGTTGCACGTTAATATACAAAATGGTATTAAGTCTAACCATGGTATAATTAAATCATTACACATCTGATCTAGTAAGTAGACACAAAAAGATTCTAAGAACCATAGCAAAAATGAGAGGTATATTTACAGAGATGACCCATACCACGCATTAGGCCTTCAGCTCCCAGTCGCACGTCATTTCAAATATAAAAGGCCAAATGAATTGGTAATAGCATGAGACAAGATTAAACGTTTCCATGCAAATATTTATCGAGAAAACATTACAATCATGTTAACTTACTATTAAGGAAGATAAGTCAGTTCAATTGCAAGTTACAACTGATGAACTCACGGACATAAGGCACACCAAACAAAAGATGGTAGGCATTAAGATGTATGACGGATATTTCTTTCTCGAGTTCCTCCTTCCCACTCAATGGGTCTTCTTTGAAACCAGCTGATGATTTTATAGGCGACAGGTGGTGCCCCGCTAATGAGAAATGAATAATTGTTGTTCATGCTTAACAGTTCCATATCAGAGGGGTTAAGTTCATTTACATTATATGTGCTGCTGCACTTATGGGCTTACATTGGACTGAAACCTGAAAGATTTTGGACATGTAATGATACTCTTCCATGCGGCAGTAGTCATTGATTTTTATGGTCCAAAATAGCTGTCTAAATAAGCTGAGCTACTCATGAACTATTCAAACTAAACTCCTTAAATACTCGACTAAGCACATATATATGCATACTTAGATAATTATAATTTTATTTATTATATTTACTTAAAATTTATATTTTTTATTATTATAATTGTGTGTACTACCTAATTTTAATTTTCACGAGTTGAAATATACTACTATTTTCATAATGTATATATTTTTTTAACCTTAAGTCATCTTTATGTAGATAAAATTACATTTTATTATTATTTTACTTTACTTTTTATCATAAAAAATATTTATTAAATACTAAATTAATAAAAAAAATTCAAAACTTTTTAAAAAATTTATATACAAGCTTTTGAGTCAAGTCCAAGCTTCAAATTTGTTAATAAAGCAAAATTTAAGCTTTAAAGCTGGCTTATTTAAATAAATGAGTCAAGCTTGAACATTTCTTTTTTTATTTTTTTATAAGTCAAGCCTTAGTTTTAAACATTTGGCGCCACTCGACTTAATTACACCCCTAGTCAAAAACAAGCAAAACCTAGAAATTAAAAAAGTTAGCTTTGTCATTGCCCGAATGAGAATGAGGAAGAAACATTCCTCCACAACATACCCTCCCTATTACTTACCAGTGTAATATTTACTTGCCCTTCTCTAGATGTTGTACTTGCTTTTGAAGGGAAGCGACACTGGCTTTGTGTGTGCCACCACCTTTAACATTGTAACAAGACGTTTACAGTTCATTCTGGCAGAGCTGCTGATGTCAGAAACCAATAAATGAAAATGGAAGAAACTAAATTAAGAAAGAAGAATGTATACATACGTGAATTCTGAAATACCCACTGGGCTAGACTCCTATTCCACTACTTAGAGAAAGGTTTCAAAAACTAATTTCTTCCACTACCCATCTCTATAAAAAGAAAATACATGTTGTATAACCGTTCCTCTTTGTATTTCCCATTTTGTCCCCCCTGCTCCAGCCCCTCTTTCATAGAATTGGACGGTTATATGTCTTCCACACCCAAGGTCCATAATACTTGTGTTTGTCCATTTATACTGTAAGTGTCGCCTCACGTGTCCAAGCTCTATGGTGGTGTCAAGTGTCTAAGCCGAAAAGCAAATAACTTTCTAATTGGACACCTAACGAGAAGTGTCAATGTGTTTAACAAGTGTTCTAAAAGTGTCAGGTCAAAAATGTGTCCGACACTGCGACACTTCAAACAAGAGAGGTGTTTGTGCTCATAGCAATAGAAATGAATGGAGTCGATGAGGTGATGTCTATAAATCATGAAAAAAAAAAAAAAAAAACTCTATTCAACAAGGTCCTGGGATTGTAGTCTTGTTTGTATTGTCGTTCTCAACACGGGTTTATTGAAAGTAACTAACTTTCCCTTTGATAAAACTCTGTTATGAGTGTCTTGAAATACAAGATTCAAATTGAACATCCATTTTGATTCGTCATGTCACCCAAACAAGTTCTGTATCTGTATTGATATTTCTACAACAATGCACACAGAAAATCGAAAGATAAAGAAACAAAACTTATAGGACGTGTGTGTAGAACTCCAAAGGAGGTATAAGAGGCCAAAAAGAAGAGAACATGCCTTTAACAAAGGCTACAAATCTAAAGCATTTCATGAAAGCATCTGCTGACTGCTAAAGCATATCTAAAGATGATTTATTTCAACAAGAAATTGACCAACAAAATAATAATAATAATTGGTATTTCTGTGGTGAATGAGAAATTGAGACTTAAATGGTAAGGCGCTTCATAATTCAGAATTTCAAATGAGACAACAACAAGCACCATGCCTCATCCACAGAAACGAAACCGTGAAACATGGATAGATATTTTAATCTGAGGAAAAGCCATCCAGATGTTGAAAGTACTAATCTAATTAATTGGAATCTGTCTTAACAATGAAAGATGTACCTGCTCAATGATGCCGAAGAACCTTCCTGAATTTCTGCAATCTCACGGTCCTGGATGATAACAAATAAAAAGAAATAGTTAAAAGAAAAAAGGTAGTAAGATTTCAACTTTTATCTTATCCCACCTCATAAAGAAAATAAATCCTACATATGCAGTCCTAAAAAAAGGTGACACGTTCAGTGTTTACAAGACATATGGTTTGGTGGGCAGGATGTCCACGAATGGGTAGCCAAAGAAAGATGCACAATCACCCAAAGATATCACATACCGCATTATAAATTGGTATTTGATTTCGCCAAAACTCTAATTCTGTTTGCTTCCCTTGATCAAGTGGCTTACATCCTTTTCTTGCAGATTTTTCACAGCAGATGGAGATTCAATCAGTTTTTTCTTATCCCTGCCCACTTTTGTTTCAACTGATACACTCTTTTTCTTATAACAGCCTTCAGACTTTGCTGACAAAGTTCTAGAAATTCTGGACACAGATACTTTAACAATCTGCTCAGATTTGCTTATAAGAGCCAGCTGCTGCTTCTGCTCACATACTCTTATACTATGCAACCTGGCACTATGTCTATTCCCGCCACTATCGTAAGCAACATTAGCCCCACCCATCTCCTTCAAGACATCGCATTCACTTTTAGGGAACGACTTCTCACGATCTCCCGGGGTCTCCTCAACTGATGTCAAAGAAGTAGGGACATATTTTTCCACAACTGTAACCGCAATTAATTAAAGCATCCATATAGAAACTAGGTAAATAGGAAACGATACAGTAAAAATAAAGCATCAAACAACCATACGGAACAAAAAAACAATTACACAAATCATTTACAAGCATTCATTACCATCAGATAAGATTTCTGGACTAGTTGCTGATACATAATCAGGAAAAGCACTACCCGAATCAGTGCCAGTGCTTGATACTTCTCTGAAGCAAACTAGAGTTTCCCAGTCTCGAGGAAAGCCAATTAAAAAACGGTTGCAAACCTAGCCGTTGGGAAAACAAACAAATTACAGAGAGTATATCATAAAATAAGGGAGAGGGAAAATTAACATTAACACTTGCGATTTACAAAATTTTAAAACAAGGCTTATGAAAGCACCAAACAAGAGATTACTTTCTGCACCCCCTTTTTTGCTATTCACACCACCATTTTCATTATAATTTCCGAAAGTGTGCATGAGACCTTCCAGAAACTAAATTCCGGAAGTGATTCTATACCTGAGCGGTGAAACCATTTTCGAGCGTGCGCTGCGCGTTGATGAAACCACTGAGAAGAACGCATATCCCATCCACAGTCTCCAGAGAAAAAAAATGGCATCGTTTGACAACAGGAGCAGAAACAAACACGCGCACTGCCTCATCCCTGAAAGACATAAACATTGCCGTGAAGCAGAGGCATTTTAAGGCGAACGACAAACCCTAACGTGTTTCCGGTCTTACTTTCTGGAAGAGACGCCAGCGACGGCTAAACGCTTTCCTTGGAAGTCGTTTTTGGCTTTAACGAGCCACCAATCGTATAAGGAGACCTTGGGAAAGGAGTTAAAAGAGCGTGAGAAGATAGAAAGAATGAGAGAGAGAGAAAAAAAGAAAGGAAGAAAGGGAGCATTGAGTAACCGTTCGTCGGAAAGAAGATGATTCGGTGTGGGAAGGAGTTGTTGCTATTGGAGTAGAGTCCATGTTCCAATACAGCAGAGAGGAACTTCTTCCAAGTTTCATGGAATGAAGGTCCCGCTAAAACACACCATGTTAAAAACATTCAAAATAAGCTTTTATTATATTAATTTTGTTATATCTTATTATTTTCAATAAAAATAAATAAATATTCTCAACTCATTTATATAAACTATTTAATCCAAGAATTGTTATAAAATATGTTTTGCTTACGCAAGTACAGGATAGCTGTCAAAAATAAAAATGTTTTATCTTTTCACTTTTTTCTTCGAAATTTCGGTTGATCCTAGTTAGCATCGTTGATGTGAATTGAGTCGAGTCCATACAATGATGCTTCTGCCAGATGAGGAGAGAAAAAGGAAATAGGAAATGAAAGACTGAAGTGGGAACATAAAACAACTAAATTGTAAACTACATTGCCATTTTATTAGCCAAGATAGATGAAACCATGAGCCTTCAAAAAGAAATCAACAATCAAAGTTTTGAACATAGATGTCCTCAATCAACACTGTTGATAATGCAACTCAAGCACACACACATTTCAAAACACACGAGATGCCATTCACTGTCTCATGTATGCACACGAGACGCTTGAGGGCCATTAAATTAAATTGTAGTACCATCATTAATTACAACACCATATTGTTGTTATTGTACCCTTCATAAATGTCGGATATTTTTTATATATTTCAAAAGTTGTATGCTCAAAGTTTGTTGAAATAAGATTTTGAAAGATGTTTCAATTTAATAAATATTTATTTTACTCTCTTTTAATAAATATTTGTTATCTCTCTCACAATCATTTTTCTTTTTTATCATTTTCTTGCTCTTTCCTTTAATTATTAGGTCAACAATAATTCTATTTATGCGAGTTTATTATCTAAGTTGTGATAATATCAACCATTCTTATAACATAACTTATATTCAATTATATCTTTCTCAGCGTGTTTGTATAATACAAATAAAAAGTGTGTTTATATAATTATAATAAATTAAAAGACAACATTTATGTGTGAACAAATAAATTTTATTTAACTATAATATTTCTTTTATCAATAGTAACCATCAGTTGTTCATAAACAATAATTATGATAATTATAAAGGAAAGGAAACAAAGAGCTTGTGCAAAGAAAATCTGTATAATTGTGCCACTAACAATAAAGAATTGTTGGAGAATTAAAGTTTTAAAAATATTTCATATCAATTTAGCAAATTAACTAAATTATAGTTCTACATAATAAGAAAATTAAGTCTATATTTGAAATCTATTTATGTGCAATTATGTAGAATTATTGTCCACTCTAATATATATTTCCTCTACCTCTCTTGTACAAAATTGTGTTCACATTTTAGTTATATCATTCATTCCTTATTTTCTTCTTAGTATCAAGAGCTTTTGTGAACACCTTGCAACATAACATCCTTATCTCTCAATGTTAGCAATTTCATTACTCTTAAACTTATCCCTACAAACTACCCACTGTGGCGTGAACAAGCCATAACTTTAGTAGAAAGCCAAGACTTAGTTGGTCATTTGACAAATGATGATCCCTCAATACACCAAACCAAATTCTAATAACACAACAAATTCAAAAAAATTTATTCAAAAATTAATCCACAAATTCATTACTTGGTGCAAGGCAGATCATCTCCTTTGAGGGTGGATAATTAGAATACTCTCTGAGGAAGCACTTAGACTCGTTGTTGGCTTAGACATTGCCTATGCCATATGGATTTCACTAAAAATTGCATATGCTAAGACTCACAAGAATGTGAGTTCACACTGCATTAACAATTCACGTACCTACGCAAGGAAGAGGAACACAATATTGAACACATTTGCATTTTCAAAGGTCTATGCAATAACCTTGTTGCAATTGGAAAACCTGTTCCAGACAAAGAAAAAGTATTTTATCTTCTCACAAGTCTTGGACCAGAATTTGAAACATTCACAACAACTATGCTAAAACCTCCAAGACCATCATACTCAGAGTTAATCTCACAACTCCAAAGCCATGATCAATGACGCAATTGATTTTCTAGACATTCCAATATACAAAATTGTTCAACTCCTCTGTTGGCCTTCTATGGCCAACAACAACGATCTCATAAATCTTCTTCTCACCAACGTGGGAATCCTCAAGTCTTTACATCAATAAGGTGAGGCTTAAGCACCTAACAAAGACGCCCTCCCCCACCTGGACAACATTGTATGACTCTTGCAGAACGAGAGTTGTATTGAAATAAAAAAAAAAATGCCAATATTGTGACAAGGTTGGGCATACAACAAAGAAATGTTGGTGGATTCCCAATAAATAAACTCAATTTGATGATATACCTCAAGCACTTGTAACCTTCACGTTAAGACAACACAATTGCTAAAACAGAATGGACTTCCGATACTGGAGCCTCCAATCACATGACAGGTAGAGCTAGTATGTTAAGTAACATTTAACAACAGTCATGTATAGATTTCGTGTTTATTGGTGATGGTTCTTGTCTCCCAATTCATGGTATTGGGACTCATTTATTAAGCGAAAAATACTACTCTACCACTTCATGATGTTTTACTTGTTCCTGATTTAACAAAAAATTTGCTTTCTATAAGCCAACTAAGAAAACAAGTTTCTGTTACTTGTAAGTTTTCTAATGTTGATTTTTGTGTTAAGGAACGAGAAACAGGAAAACATATGATCATAGGGAGGTGCAAGGGTGACTTATATATTATCTTTTCCTTTCCTAAATTGTTTTTCTCTCATCGTTTCAAGTTAGGATCAACGGATATTTGGCATCAACGATTAAGATATCCTTAAACTATAGCTTTACAATTACTAAAGAATAAAAGATTAATTGATGTAGTTAGACCTTTGAAATCTAAACATCGTTGTGATAGTTTTCAATTAGGAAAACTTAGTAAATTTCCTTTTTCTTCTTCTGAGCATTTTAGTTTTGGTATCTTTGAAAAGATACATTGTGACTTGTAGGGACCTGCCCCTGTTCTGTCTATTAATAAATTCAAATATTATGCATACTTGGTTGATGATTTTTCTAAGTATACATGGATCATTCCTTTACAACATACATATGATTTTATTAATGCTTACCTATTTTTTGAACAATATATTAAAAAATAGTTTAATAAAGAAATTAAAATTTTTCACTCTGATGGTGGAGGTGAATTCATCAACTCCAAACTTTTAACTCATTTTCGTTTAACAAGTATTATTCATCAGATATCTTGTCCATATATCCCAGAACAAACAAGTATGGTAGAATAATACGAGAATTAGGCACGACTATGTTGTTTCACAGTAGAGTACCTTTATTTCTATGGGTTGAAGCTTTTACTATAGCTATTTATCTTATTAATAGACTGTAATCTTCTTCTCTTAATTTTGGAACTCCTTACCTTGTCTTGCATGGTACACACCCTAACTATTCTTCACTACAAGCCATTGGCTCTAAATGCTTTCCTTACACATGGGACACACGACATAACAACTTTGATAAAAAAAAAACTATTCTTTGTGTCTTTGTTAGGTATAGTGATATACATAAAGAATATACATGTTTTCATCCTTCTAGTAAGAAATTTTCTATCTCAAAACATATTATTTTTTATGAGTAATTTTTTCCATATAAGACTAATCGTCATAATACAATTCCCTCTCCTGCCCCACATGTGGTTAGCATATTTGACTATTGGCTACCTCCTACTAACTTTAACTTTTGTGTAGATTTGACAGCAACAACTCCTCTTTTCACTCCACCATGCTCAAGTCTTTTACCGACACCTTTAGTGCAATCCCCTATATTACAACCTCTTGTTGAATTTATTGAATAATCAGAACAAGTCTCACAACCTGAACCTGTGCAACTTGCGTCACCATGTTCCCCCCACTACACCAGAGATTGCACTAAAATCTCCTGCTTTAGCACAGGAACTTAAGTATATTTCTTCTACCTAAACTCAACTACCACAAGTTGTTCCTCCTCACTCTATGGTTACTCGCCCACAAAGTGGAATTAGAAAGCCTAATCCTAAATATGCCTTTATCACTATACCACGTTCAGAAATTCCACACACTACACATAATATTCACTCTATATTAGCGCATCTTGGATAGAAGGTTGCCATATGTGAAGAATTTAAGGCCTTACATAAAAATTAAACTTGGAAAATACTCTAAACTTGCATGTTATTGGCTCTAAATGGGTTTTTAAATCCAAACTTAAACCTGATGGGTCCTTAGATCATCTCAAAGCTCGCCTTGTTGCAACGGGATATCACCAAATTAATGGTGTAGACTATATTGAAACATTTTTTCTTGTAATCAAGCCAAGCACCATCCGACTAATCATAACTATAACTCTTGTTAAAAAATGGCCCGTCTGACAACTCGACGTAAAAAATGCCTTTTTGCATAGGTTGCTTTCTGAAAACATATACATGGAACAACCTCCTGGCATGGTTGACCCTTAATTCCCAAACCATGTTTGCAAACTCCAAAAAGGTCTTTATGGCCTTAAATAAGCATTTCGTGCTTGGTTTGATCGTTTTAGTTCTTTCCTTCTTAAATGTGGTTTCTTTTGTAGTATGGCTAACCCATCTTTATTTATTTGGCACTCTAATATTAGCTCAGTAATTGTCCTCCTTTATGTAGATGATATACTCCTCACAGGATCCACCATCGCTCTAGTTTCTAACTTCCTTCAACTTTTGCATTCTGAATTTACCATGAAGGATTTGGAACCTCTTCATCACTTCCTTAGCATGGAAATACTTCTGACACCTGATGGCCTCTATCTATCTCAGTCACACTATGCCCTTACTACCCTTGAATGAGCTAAGATGGTTGATTGCAAGCCAATGAATACTTCAGTTGAAGCTAAGACCAAGATGATGTCTAATACCCTTAAATGAGCTAAGATGGTCGATTGCAAGCCAATGAATACATCACTTAAAGCTAAGACCAAGATGATGTCTAATAACATTCCACCTGATG